TAGGAGATGTATGGGGAAGTATCCTTCCTTACGTAGAGATTGTTCTCAACTGTACTGTAGCAGATGCAAGAGATTATCCTTGAAATGTAATGAACATTTCTGTGAATGTATTTTGATGTTACCTGTTTACTTACAAGTTTCACCTTCTTCTCTTTCGCATCCTACTTTTGACGTTCAGGTTTCCTCGGACTTGAATCAGAGAATACCTCGCCTCTTTTGACTTAGCCATTTTCGGGTTACTTTGACCCTTGTGGCGTCGCCATACCCCCAAGATCCCCTGGTCGCTCATGCGATCAACAGATCTTGTGTTCCAGACTTAGCCGTTCTCTCAGACTTTCTTGCCACGGCGTCGTCTTCAACCTTGGTCGCTTGACAGGGTTCGACGCTTCACCCACTACTGGGTATCTTAGCATGAATCACCGTGCAATTTTAGCGATCTCTTATGGTCGCTCCTTTTTTTTAGAATTGGAGACAAGATGTGCCAGAGAGCTGGATTTATTAAATCTCAAGAAAAAGACATGGCTGGAATACAATCTATTGATAAAATTTAATAAGGTTGGCGGCATTCCATACTTGCGGAACGTCGCCACCGGTTGGAGTTTGCAATCTAAATGTCCCATCAGCCAACACCTCCTTTATGATATATGGCCCCTCGAAGCTTTTAGCAAACTTCCCTCCATCGGTCGGCCGGCTGACCTCCCTCAATCCAATCCGGCTCCTCTTTGAGTGTGATGATCAGCACTTGTCCGGGACTGATGCTTGGCTCGAGCAACTCTTCTTCCTGGGTCATTGCCTTAATATGATCCGGGGAATCCGGACCAAGCTTTAACAAGATATCTGCCTCAGCGTTCTCTTCCCGAGGAACCTGCTCTATCCGGTACGCCCCGAATGCCTTAAGCAACTCCAGGACAGTGTCTCTATACTTCTTCATTCGTTCATCCTTGGCCTCAAATTCTCCAGTGACGTGGCCTACCACTAGCTTGGAATCGCACCGGACTTGGATTCGCTCAGCTTTTAATGAGGCTGCCAACTTCAAGCCGCAAAGCAGTGCCTCATATTCAGCCTCATTGTTCGAGACTTTAAACCGGAATCTCACGGAGTAGTATGCCTTGAACCCTTCCGGAGATATCGCCACGACACCTCCCCCCGAAGCACCAGTCGCGGACGACCCATCGGTGTACACGGTCCACCAATTCCCCTCGGGTTCTTTTCCACTAGATTCTACCTCTCTCGCGGTGCATTCTACCACGAAATCTGCTAATGCCTGCCCCTTTATCGCCGGTCGCGGCTTAAACTCTATTTGAAAGGATCCCAGGAACACCCCCCACTTGCTGACCCGTGACGGGGCATTTGGGCTTCGAAGAAGTGTTCCGATGGGAATTTGTGATAACACATGGACCGGATGGGCTTGAAAATATGGGGTGAGCTTTTTCACCGTACACACCTCCGCAAAGATGGTCTTCTCCATGTTGGTATATCTCAACTCCGCCCTCGCAGCACTCGGGCCACATAGTACATAGGTCGCTGTGCGCCCTCCTCCTCCCTCACAAGCACCGAGCTCACAGCTCGAGGAGAGATTCCTAAGTATAGGAATAAGGTCTCTCCGGGCTCTGGCTTCGAAAGCACTAGTGGGGAGAGGAGATATGCTTTTAACCCCTCAAAAGACCGTTGACATTCCTCGTTCCAAACGAACCCTCTACTCTTCTTAATGGTCTAGAAGAAAGGAGCCGCTCGATCAGCTATCTTTGATAAGAAACGACTGAGAGCAGCAATCCTGCCGGTGAGCTGCTGGACCTCCTTTACATTCCGTGGAGGCTCCATCTCCAAAATCGCCTTTACCTTTTCCGGGTTAGGCTCGATCCCTCTCCGGCTGACCATATGTCCTAGGAATTTACCCCCCTGCACCCCAAATGTGCATTTCTTGGGGTTAAGGCGAAGCTGGAACTTCTTCATGATCTTGAATACTCTCTCCAGGTCGCCAGCATGAGACTCCGTCTGTTTGGACTTGACAATCATGTCGTCCACATACGCTTCCATGCACCCCC